ATTAATAATATATCCGATTTTTATATTAACATTATTTGTATGTTATATTATATAAAACTAAAAATAGATCAGTTTTTTATATTTTTTGAAAGTTAATAGATCTTATTTTCCTTTAAATTTACCACTAAATAACGTGTGCATTGAATGATTTTTATTTATTTTGAAAAAGAAAATCAACTTGAAGAACCTTTGGTCAGAAAAGTAGTCAAACTAAAATGAGAGTTTGTTATTTTTAAAAGTTTTTGAAACTAGTCCAAATCAAAGAGAATCTCTATTTCATATTCTAATCTATATCTACTCTTCTTCTATGTCAGAATCACATAACACCCGTGCAATTGAAGCTGTAAGTTCTTTTTCCTCCTCTCTACTTCATGTGTAAGGTTCAACGATATTTAATTATGATATACTTACGATTTGATGTGTAACATCAACAAACACAATGATGTAATAAAACAAAAGACTAGAAGAGTGTTTTCCATTGCACATATAATATATTGAAAACAATGGTTAGTACATTGAAGAGTTTTAACTATGAAAGACTTTTCAAATTAAATTTTTCAAAAACGATTTGAAATCTAATTAAATGTCTCAGATTTGATCCATAGGTCAAAAACCTTTCGAATTTGTAGAAAATAACAAATTATAAACTAAAACAAGCAAAATTGTACGAAACTTGAAGAAAAATCAAAGAAATTGTAGGTCGATCTATATTTCTTTTTTTTTTTTTTTTTCATTTTTTGAAATAGACTGTCGATTCACATTATTTGTGAACAACCATGCCGACCCTAAACGAGAGTCAGAGACAATCTTTTTGTGGCAGGTTGATTTATTCCTGAAGAAACCTGTTTTTAGTCATGACCAATTATATGTTGTTGCTGTACATAACTAATATGAGAGGTTGAAGATATTATTGTGATAATGACGAGTTACCCAATAATCAAACTCATAAAGTCGTGTACGATGAGGTTTTTAATAATATTAATTGTTTGGTGATGAACATTTTATGATTCAATAATGTTCCTAAGTATTATAATTATTTTGATCCTAATGAATTTAAAAATTTATTATTCTCCAAATAAGAAATGCTAATTTTATTTTTATAGTAATAAAATTGACTACACATACTTTGACAGAAGGATGAGTTATTTACTAAAAATGCACAGGATAAAGACATATTGAGATATTTTTAATGGAAATATAGTAATTTTAAGTAGTTATTAAATTTGAAAAGGAATCTAATCAACCGTAAAATAAAATATATTATTAATTGCAAAATCATACTCGTAAATAATTACCCAATTGAAAAAAATAATGAAATGAAAACAAATATAGATACAACGACTAATTGTGGGCATTGATAACTTCTATCTTTTGTTAAATTTAGTTCATTAAATCTAGAATGTAAATATTGTTGAACGTACACAAGTTCCTTAATATTAAATTTATGTACTTATTATTTTATAATGGATGGTAACTCTCCTATATAAGTTATGCTTTATCTGTTTCCAAAATTTCATATAATTTATTATATGTCAAAATAAATTTTAAAATTATTGTTTTTAATCTACTTCATTTTAATCGTTACTTCTAAAATATATTTAGATATAATAATTATCAACACACTCTTTTGAATGCTTAAACTCTCATCTTACTGGTAATTGACTTTAATATATTATATTTGAACACCATTTCAAATATAATCACGTGCATTGGTCATTGACTTTTATCAATCCAATATAGAGAAAATGAGTGTTCTCTCGAAATTATATTCGAGGAATGAATCTTATCTTAGCTAAACTACTAATTCCGTGTATGTCGTTATCAACCCAACACAAGCCTGTATTTACTTCATAAGGAGCGTAAGCATTGGACTAGCTAGCTCTAAGTAAATCACTCCATACATAAATTGTGTATTGATTGAATCAAAGGATTATTACAACATTCCACACACCGATACTCCCAAAGAAACATAAACAAATAGTTTATTGGTAGGGTATATCAATACTCTCCCAATTTTCCATGTGTCTATCACCAATAACAATTATTCATAATAGTTAGACATACTATATTATTCAAGAATATGAAGCAGACCGCATGTCAATCTATTGCGTATCATTAATATCCTTTTCTTCATGATCATTGATTGAGACTATTTGAGAGTTATACTTTATCAGTTAGCATCTCACTCTTTTAATGACAATATTAACTTAAGAAAGTAATTAATTAATAAATTGCAAACAATAAAAAATTACTTATTTAATTACAATACCATAATTATAATCCAATATAATATTATTGTAATCATGTATATATGTCCTCAAAAATATTTTTCTCTAGGACACATATACCAATAATTTTGGACCCTAGCGGTTATGTGCCTCAAACCGGACCGGTATACTAACTGATTCCTGATTGAACCGGCAGGCCCGATCCGGTTCTCAGAACCCTGATATTATGTACATATCGTTGTGGTTTAGATACGTTCTTCCACTACTGTTTACCATTTCTTCCATTAGCACTACAAGAAAATGATGAAATTCTAACAAAAATATATTCAAATAGAATTATTCCAACGACAATTCCAATAGATATTTCAATGCTATTATTTATGCTGAAATTTTTCAATGGATTCCAACGGAAATTTCAACAAAAATATTATGTTGGAATGGGTTTTCCATTGGAATTTATGTTGGATTTTGACGACTCCAACGGTAGATTTTCTAACGGGGGTGGAAATAAAAATTCCAGCAGAAATTGCATATTTCAATGAAAACTCCTACGGTAAAAAATCGTTAGAATCATTAAATTCCATCTAAAATTCCAATAAAAAACACATTCCAACGGAATATAGCCATTGGAATTTCCGTTGGAATCATGCAAACGAAATATATACCATTTAAATATCCGTTGGAATTTCCATCGAAATATATTATTATAAGATTTCCGTCAGAATATAACAATTTTTTGTAGTGTAGTATGAACTAGAAATATGGAATAATTAAAATGAGTCTACAAATATAGGAATAAATACTTAAAATGAGTATATGATCCAAATCTTAGGACATTTTCAAGCACGATTTCGTATGTATGCTAGACATGTGTGTGTAATCACAATTATATTTTTACAAACCAATTATTTTTGGCACCATCTTTGAAAGATTATTGAGGTTATTTCAGTAACCACGCATAAAAACTTATAAATATCTATTATCAGATGATGAAATCCATTCAGTAACCCACCTCACATTTTTGCCTTTCGATGTCTTTAAGTTTTCTAAAACAATCTAATCTCATTTAGGTTGAAGGATTTTGCATGTACCATTTTTGAGATTAAGGCCATCGCTCGCTTCTATGTAAGGGAGCATTGGTCTGTACTATGTAACCACAATTGCATATTTACAAACCAATTATTTTTGGCACCATCTTTGAAAGATTATTGAGGTTATTTCAGTAACCATGCATAAAAACTTCTAAATATCTGTTATCAGATGATGAAATTCATTAAGTAACCCACCTCACATTTTTGCCTTTTGGTCTTATGTTTTCTAAAACAATCTAACTCATTTAGGTTGAAGGATTTTGCATGTACCATTTTTTGGATTAAGGCCATCGCTCGCTTTTATTTAAGGGAGCATTAGCTTGTACTATGTAATCACAATTGTATTTTTACAAACCGATTATCTATGGCACCATCTTTGAAAGATTATTGAGGCTATTTCAGTAACCATGCAAAATAAAACTTCTAAATATCTGTTATCATATGATGAAATTCATTCAATAACCCACGTCACATTTTTGCCTTCCGATGTCTTACGTTTTATAAAACAATCTAATCTCATTTGGTGTTAAATTATCTTTTAAAGCGATCGCTCGCTTCTATTTAAGGGAGCATTGGCCTGTACTATGTCACTCCAACTTGGACCCGAGAAAGTTTGACAAACAGATAATACAATTGGTTAGTTTGATTCTCTCTCTCTCTCTCTCTCTCTCTCTCTCTCTCTCTCTCTCTAATTTAGTTCCTTCCAAAATAAATTTATCACCTTAAATTCTGTCCATATTATTTATCTCTACAATGAAAATGTAGCATGATTTAGAAGTTTTTTTTTTTTTTAATTATTTTTGACATAATACTATGCAAGTTCTAGTTTAGAATATATTTGTTCAATTATTGTCGGGTTTAATTTGAATAATTAATTAATCAAGCGGTGATTGTCATGAGTTTCTTATGTAGTTTTCCTAAATTAAAAAAAAAAAGCAAAGTATTTGTATAAGACAACTTTTCACGTCAAAATACTCAAATTGAGACCTTTTCGTAATAGATCTATTTTGTAACCATATCCGTTTATTTATATTTTTTTAATGTAAATAAAATTCTCAATTAGGAACAAACAGAATAATTCTTTGTTAATTTTTGTAAAGTTTTAATCTCAAATTATTTTTATCACATCATTAGAAATATAAATTAAATACATAAGGAGAAAGAAAATAATTAATTTTTTTTCAAAGTTTAAGAGATTTAGATGTAATTATTCATACCACATTACCAAAAATAAAAATTAAAGATTCCCCAATGTTGATAAAGAAAAAAAAACTACCAAAAGAACATAATAAATAAGAAAAAAATAAAAAATAAAATAATTTCCTTATTTTGGGGAACAAATTTTTTTTTTTGGTACGACAAATATAGTATTAAATGTAAATGCCACTATATATACATATATAGATCACACGTGCATAACAGAGAACATACATGGGTTAACTTATGATTTTAACTTTCGGTTTTCTATTATTTGTTTTAGCTAGTACTCATGGCCGATTCAAGTGAAGTTCAACTCTCTAAAGGCAAAAGAAAGTCTAAACAAGAAAAGTTGAACAAAAAAACAAAAGGGAATCTCGGAACATCCAACTCAAAGAATCAAAGTTGGTCACAAGTATTAAATGACAATGATGGAAGAAAGGACAAGAGCCCAAGTAGCGATGATGAACCACCGCATTTAGATATGTTGTTCTCTGACTTTCTCGACTCTAGATCAACAAGGTCTGACGAGGCTCTCCAAGGCAACTTCGATGAGTTAAAATCTCAAATAAGTGATCGTGTAATAAACGACATTAGAGAACTTCAACAAAAGGTGAAGGATCGCAAGGAGTGGGCCCAGAGGGTAGTGATCGAGGCAGCAACTCGAGTATGTAAAGACCACATGGAGCTCATAACATTAAGAATGGAAAAGGCCAAGAATGAAAAAATAGAAAATAAGAAAATTGCATATCACGTGGAAACGAGTAATGGAGAGGCTGAGAAAATGCAACATGAGGAGCTAAAGGCCGATACTGAGGCTTACAAGCTGTGCAAGTTTGATTCTGATCGAAACATTGAGGAGGTGACAAAGAGATGCCAGAAAGGTATAGAAAAGCTTGCTAATGCCGAGAGAAAGGCTAATGTCATGCGATCGCAACATGAGAAGGAGGTGTCGAGGAAGCTGCAGCTGGAACAAGAGTTGTCTCAGGCTGAGAAAGAAGTCGAGGAAGCTGAGGTGCGCCTTTTGTTTTGTAGTTCATTGCATAAATATGATGATTATATATCTCGTAATTGTTTTTATATTAATGAACTAAGGTATTTTTTTCTTTATGTGTATCTCATGAACATCATAGAATTTCTCCTAAACATGCATAGTAGGTTTTAAGAACACACCACATGATGACTAGGTAAAAAATTTGAAAGTTGAAACCTAAAGTTTTTTAGCTAGGAACCTTGATTTTGAGGAGCCAATATTACAATCAAGCCATGCGCATCCGAAATGGAAAGATTCTATGCACAGTGAGTATGATGCCCTTACGGCTAACAACACATGGACTTTAGTCACTTTATCTCCTAACAAGTCCATCATTGACTTCAATGAGTTTTCAAACTCAGATACAATGTAGACAAATATACTGCTACATATAAATCTCGTTTGGTTTCTATAGGGAATAGTCAAACTATTGGCGTTGAATTAACAGAATCCTTTAGTCCAGTGGTGAAACCAAACACTATAAGAATAGTTTCTTCTCTTTTTTCACCTATACTTGGAAAGTTGGACTGTTAGGCTTCAACTTCTCTGCTAGATGTAGAAATAGATGCTTGTTGAGTATATGAGTCTTGCCCATATCACTGTTGAAATTACTTGGATTCAATATATTCTTCAAGAACAAATTGTATCAGACTCCTATTGTTTGGACTGATAACCTCAGTATAATGATAACAATCTTGTCTTACGTGTTCAAACTAGCACATTGATATTGACCTTTATTTTGTTCGACAAGTAGCCAAAACAAGCTCTCAAAGTTCAACATGTTTTATCTCTTGATCAAGTTACAGATGTCTTGGTAAAACCTTTAGTTATCAATTTGTCATAAGATCTAAAGAAAATTTCAAATTCTACTTACTCCTGGATTCGAATTGAGGGAGAGTGATAGAAAAGATAACCCAGATGTCTCTAAATAGCATATAGTACACATATACATGCACAACATATTTTTGTTCATCAAGTTCATAGCTTTGGTCAATGATGACATTGTTTTCTTGTTTGTTAGGAGCTTAGGGTTTTTTAGCCTTTACAATTCATTTGGCCTTATATAAGCCATGTATTCACTCGTAACCTCTAGCATTAGAAATGACATTCTTGGATCAACTCTATCTTGTCATAATACTTTTAACGCTTGCATCTTTAAGCATGGTTGTTCAACATCTTCCTTACCTCCAAATAGAGGCTCATTTCAAATTGTGAAATGTATTTAAAATTATTGGCCACGGGTTGAATTAGTATGCATATATTGGTGGAAAGATATAGTTCTCCACTTTTCTATATGAACATTTTGATAAGTAGATTGAGAAACTACAATCCAACAAGTTATTGTTTGATTGTATATGTCACCCTTATATACATGTACAAGTCCTTATTGATTAGTTAATACACAAAAACTATTTGTCGTAGGGTATATATTTTGCATTTATATACTCTATTTAATGTAATCTACAGCTAGCTTTCCCACCTCATATAGAACATTAATCTGCCTCCTAGGTGTGACTTTGTTTCATCTAATTGTTACGTCATGCAATTTTCTATCCAATTCAAACTTTCTTAGCGTGCACGCTAAAAATATATGCCCGTTTCTTTAAATTAGCATTTATGACCATACTTCAAACTAAGAAGTAAGAACCATGTGTATATCATATTAACTTGTTCTTAAGTTTTAGTTGTAA